TGTGAATATATACTTATAAATTGAATTTTCACGGATCTGACTCTCAGATATGGACCTTTCGGCATGTCCCCTGGTTTGCAGACATCGGCATTTCAAACTGATGTAAATGAGTTTGCTAATATGGGCCACAATTTTCATTAGAAACCTGCGTAACACTATTTTTTCTTTTTTATAAACAGGGGACAAGAAAACACCTCTTACTAATATGTGGATGTAGCCACCGTGCAAGACATCTCTACATTGTTTTTTTGCTTGACTGACGTTCCCGTCTTTTGACGCGTCTTCTAAAGAGAAACTGTGTTGAAGAGTAGGGCAATTCGTTCAGATCAGGTAACTGAAACATTCGAAACGAACACAATTCTAGACTTGGCTTAAAATTTTCTTACTGCCACCTCTCTTTCAATTATTGTATTTCATTACGTCCAAATCTTCCATAATATCAAACTGCGTAATATGCCAATAGACGCTAGGATATGCTTGAAAAACAATTTATTTCTTGTGTCTATTTGAAAATGTGTATTATTGAACGCACTGCATTCTGATCTAAATTTATGTCCCATGTTTTCATTATTCGTCTGAAATTGGCTATAAATTAAAACATTTTTCATCTAGAAATACATCTGATATCGCCTCCTTTTTGTAAAGGGCAAACGCATCCTGTCGCACAATTGCTGCTGCGGTGTCCACAAAGAATCGTTTCTATTATGGGCGTTTGCGTGAGGATTCTGAAGATCTGTTTGGAGCTAACTGTTTGGAAAAATCTCACGTAAACCAAATTCAGCCGTACTTGTGGGACGAACCTTTAATTGTGATTTTCGATTAAGATTCGGTTGGCTTTCAATTTCCGATTTAAAGAAATCGAAGATAGGCATGTGACAGAAATTCTTGTTTGGAAATAGAACAAGAACTGAACAATTATATATCAAAAGAGCCCAGAAGTTTAGACATTTATTTTACCTAGAATAGATAGGCAAAAAGGCATTTATTCTATCTAAAGTAGAGGTGCAAAAATACCTGTAAATAATGACAAAGCAATTTATAAGGAATTATGAACGAAATTAATAATTAAAATTATTCACAATTTTATTCTAACTTTAAAGTTTACACTAGCAGTTACGTGTAAGCAAAGGATGTTTCTTATTGTAATCTTGGTTCCACATGATCCCCAGGTGTGATGACTACAATTAGTTTTACTCGCAACGCTGTCTCTTCGAAATGCTTCTGTGGACTCCATTTGGGATCTTGAAATGGCATCAGTGATAATGAAATGATAGTTTTCCTTAAGATTTTTAACACTACTTGACCCTGGAGCCTCCGCTTCCACAGAAACGCAAAACACGGCGTGCCTTCATATTGTCCAGGCTTTCCAGCTTGGTCGAGATAAGTGCCAGGAGAAATAAGTAAAATATTGACGAAAATGGCAGAATGCTGCAAAAATACCAAAATTTGACTAAAAAAAGGGGAAAAAAGACAATGCAAATCTACTGCAACAAATTCAGTATTACAATTAAGTAATTACTCTTGGTAAGTCATTAAATCATAACTAGAGTCCGGAAGTTCGGCAAAAGTCGTATTATTATTGTTATTATTTTATGAATTTTGACAATAGGAATCACTTAATTGTATTTCTGGAGTTGTTTTAGTAGATTTTCATTTTGTCTATTTTAGCTTCCAATGTCTATTTTTTTTTTTTTGGCATTTTGTCTTATTTGTGTCTTTTTCGTCATTGATTTCCCTTTCCCTCCCTCCGGGCACCTATCTCTATCAAGCTGGAAACATACCTCCAAGCCTGGACAACACGAATGCACGGTCATGTATTGTCTTTCTGTGGACGCTGAGGCTCCATTGTCAGGTTGTGTTAAAAATATAAAAGGGAAAGGAAAATGATACCTGTAACGATTTTTGATATTTTTCAATGAGCTAACAGATTTGTTCACTCATGAGGAATTCTATGAGTATGACCTCAGATCCCTTTTGAGGACAGAGCTCTGTACGTGACATTCCCTTCTCTGTTCCTTCTTGTTCTCTTTTCCCTTTTGGCGATTTCACATAACAAAATCTATAATTCCATCTTCAATGAAAGCATTTCAAGATTCAAATTGGAGTCCGCAGTATATTTCGTAGACAGTGTCACGGGTAAAATAAATTCGTAGTCCTCATATCGGATGGTCACATGCAATCAAGATTATCAAGAAAAGATAAGATTCTTTCCATGCGAAGGGTAATGTAAATTGTAGTTAGAATAAAAATGGGAATCATTTTAACTATTATTTTTTTACAGTTATTTTTAAATAATTTTTCAATGTTCTCTGTGTTATACATATCTACTTTACTAGAATAAATGCCTTTTAGCCTGCTTCTTTTAGGTAAATTACATACCTGGACTTCCGTGCTCTAACCATAACAATAATATAAATAGCATTTTGCCAAACTTCCGGGCTTCATTTATCAGAAAATGATCAATGCATTGCGATGTAGTCAATTTCAAACGTCGAATTACAAAGCTGATTATAGCTTTGGCCGGTGGATTTTCGAACATTACAAGTTTGTTCGTATGAGACGTATAATACAAATTTTAGGATTTGGATTGTTTTAATAACGCTGAGTATCAATGTCAACATCAAAATATTACAGAAATATTGCGATCGATCCTTGGTAAATGATAGTTTGACCACGTTATTCCTTCGTGGTCACACTTTTTTGTATCGTATGTGAACTTAGTAGAATACTACATTGTAATGTTTAAATGGCTCATTATTCTTGACAGGAACTATATCCAAGAGAGAGGTTTCATTTGTTGCAACATCTTTTTCCTTGCTTTTGCCCAGAACTTGAAAGAAACGTCAGTACAATGTCATCATTAACTTAAGGGATGAAGACTATCATTCTGAATGATGTAGTCTCACGGCAGCACGTCAAGTCAACTCGAGTATAAATACCCAGATATTACGGATCTGTTCAAATTCACTACTTTCTCTTCAGGTTTCACAGAAGTTTATTTATGCAGCTGTAATTACTGTGAAACGTGTATGTATCTGCACCAAAATTAATTATAGTACTCTGTCTTACATTTTTGCGATAATTGAATCTTATTTCTAAAATTCAATTAATAAAACATTGAATTAAATTAAATAGTACCTAGTACCTACTAATTGGTTTTTCAAGAACAATCACAAAAGTTAGTTTTTAGTATGGAATCCTTTATTTTTATTACAGAGTTCAGTCTTTGTATCCCGTTTTCCATAAGTTTCATGCACTTGGGCGTCAAATCGATGCTAGTGAGCCTTAATAAATTGGTTTCTTCATTAACGGATGTTTGGTTGAAATTATCTTTTTCAGCTGATCCTTCATGAAGCTCCAATGGGGTTCAAGTTGGGACTTGTCCCAACCATGGAAGTTCACTAAATTCTGGTCCTCAGTTAAACCTCTTGAATCATTCGTTTTCTACAACGCTTTAATGATTCCCCACACTTATATATTGTGATGTCACACAAAATCCCCCGTCGTGGAATATGAGCCTCTGGGTAGAACGCTTTGTCATCGATACAGCATGATTAGAAGAACTTTCAACTTTTCTTCGACAGTATATCAGCCATAGTATCCCTGATGTAATAGATATGCCCACGAAGTCGTGAAGCGAGACCTGCTCCTGTACCAGACCTATATCTCTTGGTCTTGTGAGATATCCTGACGAGTATCATGCAAACTATTATGTCCCGATATCTCGAAAACATCGTGAACATGTATTCCTCTGACATCTTGGAATAGAGGCCAAAATTTTGGCACGTGTGTGTCAACCAGTGACCTGTCAGATTATTGATTGGGCGCTTCATTGAGTTACGGACAACAGGAGCACATCTATCATCAATTCTTACTCCAAATGTGCAATGACATAGGGTTGAACAACAGAGTTAGGACATCAGTGTTCTATTATCGGCTCGGCATTTCCGGTCAAGTGGATAGCTTTTTCTTTCTTCACTCTGCCTACCACTTTCCTTTCCGCCACACTGAGTCTGGCTCCACCTTGTTTTTGAGCCATCTTTTGCTATGTGAAATGGAACCTTGCATTTTTTTGGAAAATATAAAATGTTGTATAAAACCATTTAATTTTACTTAAGTCTTCAATGGATGACGGTGAATCATTTAAATGGTCTCATTAATTTTTTTTCTGTTTCAAAGTATTTTCTTATCAATGTTATGTTCACCATATGACAAACACAATAAATAACGCAAACAATTGCGAACAAACTTTTTTCATGAAAAGGGATTTTATACTTATTTAAACAATTTCATATACTGGATCACGCCTGACAATTATTTTTAAAAAGCTCAAACGTATTTCATACACCTTTTTAAAAATATTTCTTGAAACTTTTCCAGGCAGTACTCTATTTACGGACCCTGCACCCGCTTCTTGCAGGCCTATTGATTAAGACTGCTCTGA